CCTCAACTTATAGAGAACATGAAAACAAAGCCCAGACATAAGCATATGGAGAGTCAGCAAGACGGTCATTCTCCTGGGAGAGAAGTCTTCATCCTGGTGCGGGTTAGAGGGGCTTGGGAAGGGCCATTTCCTATCCTGGTGGTATTCCTTGCCGGGATCCTAATTCCCAGGGCTTCATCCCACTCTGCCAGCCAGCACTCTAGGCAGTGCGCACACCAGGGAACAAGCCAAGGACACAGGACTGTACTGCCAGGCTCTTTGTGCAGTTGATCCCCGTGTTCCTCTGTGAGTCAGGCCAGGCCAGACTTCTGGCTCAGTTGTACAAAACCTGAATGTCCAAAAGTGAAGATGATCAGTCACATGGGTAATACTCAGTGTTGAGCCCAGAACCCAACGCTGGTGACTTCCTCCTCCTCCTCTTCCTCCTCCTCTTCTTCCTCCTTTCTCCTCCTCCTCCTCCTTTCTGACTCCTCTTCCCTCTGCTCTTCTAACCCTGCTCCTTTTCTAAAAAAAATATTTTATTTCATTTTTATGTGCTCATGTCCGTGAGTGTATGCATACATCTTGTGTGTAGGTGCCTGAGGTCATAAGTGGGCATTAGATCCCTTGGGGCTGGAGTTACAAGAATTCCTGGGCTACCCAATGTAAATGCCGGAATCTGAACTCTTGTCCTCATGGGAGCAGCAAGCTAACTGCTGAGCCATTTCTCTAGCATCAATATAATTTAATTATACCCCTATCCTGAGGTCTCTTTCCTGTCTTTCTGGAACTTATCACTGAGTGTTACATTAACCTGTCTCTCCTTTTCTAGCCCAGCTCACATTCTCCTGTCTTCTCTGAGCTCCAGGACCACCATTCTTCAGGCTCCGTAGTTTCCAGCTCCCAGTTCTTCTGAAAACATACTCAGGCACTTCCTTTGGGGGACAGCTTTTCTTTCGCCCCAGTGAGGGTTTTTGTAGCCCAGGCTGGCCCTGAACGCTGAACCTCCTGCCTCGGTCTCCCAAGTGCCAAGATCACAGGTATATGCTTGGCATAGTTCATTTTTATCTATAGAACATCTCTCTTCTTACAAATGTGCTTGATCATTCAGTATTCTCTTGCTTCCTTAAATTATTTTTATGTGTATGAGTGTATTGCCTGCATGTGAGTGTACCCGCGTCGTGCAATGCCACAGAAGTCAGAAGAGGACGTCAGGTTCCCCTGGAATTGGAGTTAAGGACGGTCTGTAGCTGCTATGTGGGTGCTGGGAATCGAACCCGGGTCCTCTGCAAGAGCAGTCAAGTGCTCTTAACCGCTGAGCCATCTCTCTAGCCCTTTTTTTTTTTTAAACTTTTAAACTAGCAGCTAATTATCAGATGTCTCTGGGGGCCCAGTGTGATGGTTGGTACATGTATACATCTCATGATGATCAATTTGGATGGCTGGATTACACCATCACACATGGCCTTCGTTACTTTTCGATGAGAACGTTCACAAAGCTCTTACAGCTATTTTGAATATGACCAGTGTCATTGTCTAGTCACCTTTCTTTGTAATAGAATGTTGGCCCTAGCTGCTGTGATCTTGAACCTGTTAACCAAACTCTCCCCCTCCCTCTCCACTATTGTCCCATCTCTGGTAATCACTAGTCTCTCTCCAGTTTTACTCAAATTTAAATCCTGGGGCTAGAGAGATGGCTAAGCAGTTAAGAACACTGGTTGTTCTTGCAGAAGACCCGGGTTCAAATCCCAGCACCCACATGGCAGCTAACAACTGTCCATAACTCCAGTCCCAGGGGATCCGACAGCCTCTTCTGACCTCTGCGGGCATTGCACAACATGGGTGCACTTACCTACATGCAGGCAATACATGCGTACACATAAAATAAAAACTTTTTTTTAATTTAAATCTTTTATCTCTATCAATATAGTCAACACAATTATTTTATATGCTGTGTCTTTTACTCTATCTTAGAACTTGTAGGATTGCTTTTCTTTCTACTGGCCCTTGTTCAGGATTCTACGGAGCAGCTGTGATAGTTTCCCAGTATACTGTGATGTCTGACACCTCAAGCTTCCCTGGCTGGTAAGAGCCTGCCCTCCCCAGGCTACTCAGCTCCAAGTCTGCTGCTGTCTTCAGTCAGAGCCTGCACTGCTGTGACAGAAGCTCAGGAGACGGGCCTTTTCCCTGGGGAGCCAGGTCCCAGTGACTGGAAACCACCAAAACTCTGTTTGGAGTTAAGTTTTTCCACAAGAACACCAGAAATAACTACACTTTTTTTTTTCTTAACCAGTTTATTTTTCACAGCATCATACGTTTTACAAAACACACTGAAAAGCAGGGCTGGATGCCAGCCAACGGTTTTCCAGTGTCTGGACTGGGGTCCATACAGATGCCTTTGAGAATGTAAAGACCAAACTCAGACCTGGGCCACCCAGAGTGGCCCTGAGGTCCCTGTGATTCTACTCATTAACAAAACACTTACTGTGTGACACTTTACTTTTCTAAACTGCCAAGTTAGGGGCTGGAGAGATGGCTCAGCAGTTAGGAGCACTGGCAACTATTGTAGAGGACTTGGGTTCAGGTCCCAGCACCCACATGGCAGCTGACAACAATCTGCAGTTCTAGGGGACCCGTCACCTCTTCAAGGCCAGCCTGGTCTACATAGTGAGTTCCAGGACAGCTGGGGCTACAGGGAGACCCTGTCTCAAAAAGACCAAAAAATAAATAAATAAATTTTTTAAGTTTTAATTTAAAAGTATATTTTAAAAAGCAAAATGTTTTTAGCCAGGCCTAGTGGCGCACGCCTTTAATCCGAGCACTCTCGGGAGGCAGAGGCAAGGCAGATCTCTGAGTTCAAGGCCAGCCTGGTCTATATAGTGAGTTCCAGGACAGCTGGGGCTACACGGAGACCCTGTCTCAAAAAAAAAAAAAAAAAAAAAAAAAAAAAAAGTTTTAAAAAATAAAATAATAAACTGTTGAAATAGAACATAGCAAATGTGGATCTGCTCAATGCCTCCCAATACCTGAAGAGCCTGACAGTAGGCAGTGGGGAAGCACCCCACAAGGCAGCTGCACCTCAGCTAAAAGCAGCCTTTTGGGGGGGTCCCGCCCTTCCGCTACCCTGTGGGCTTGCCTCAGAACCTGCTTGGCCTCCTTGGGAAAGCTGGGAAGCACGAGAGGTAATGAAGTGTACCTGGCACTTTCCTGTCAGGTTGGAGAGGGCACAATCAGTCAATCATATGGCTGTAACCTGAAAGGAAGCTTCCTGGGATCCATCAAAGGTCCCTGTGTCAATTAAAAGGTTCCCGGGTGGGACCACAAGGCAGTGACACCTGCTGAGTCTTCTGCAAGGGCAACAACCACAGACCTCCAGAGCATACCAGGCTCCCTTTACCCCAATGGATAAAGCGGCAGTGTTCATCCTGAATAGAGGGAGCCAGGGGCAAAGCAGCCACAGGGCACAAGGCTGTCAAGGCTGTGGTCAGGTCCCAGCTAAGTAGGGCAGGCAGGGCCTGTCACTCATGCTGGGGTCTGAACAGCCTCCTATGTGTGCCCCAAGTGTAGTGGTTTGGATCTGAAATGTCCTGCACAGGCTGGTGTTTGAGCACTTGGTCCCTGGCCAGTGGTGCTGTTGTGGGAGGCTGCGGAACCTCTGGGATTCGAGGCCTGTCGCTGGGCAGGCCTTTCAAAGTCGTGCCTGCTTCTGGTTCTGGCCTTTCTCTGCTACCTGGTCCCTCACAGTGTGGGGAACCTACCACACTCCCGTTGTCATGAACTGCAACCCTCTGAAAAGTGAGCCCAAATAAACCATCCTTCAAAAGTTGTTTCTGTCAGGTCTCTTGGTCACAGTGACCAAAGGTAACTAATAAATACATTTGAGAGAAATTCATTTCACCCTATACAGGGGTGACTGTGTTCAATGTGCCCTGGGTCCCCAGTGCTGAACACTCATTCAGCACCATGGTGGGGGTTCAGGTTGTTCCCCCCATCACATTCTGCCTGACGGAGACCACCTGGGCTTGTCAGGCTGGCCAAGTCCTCGCCCCCACACCACCAATCCATTCAGAGGACCCCCATGACATCTTCTGGGTCACTGAAAACTGCTTCAGCTGGAAGTGAACCCAGGACCCAAGCCTAGGTGGCCTCTGAGGCCATAGGTTCTTAGAAGCATTCCCACTCCTCCTGGCACCAAAATGGCCACCCAGGCACTCCCTGTGGTCTCACCTCGGGGGCCCTGCAGACAACAGCTCAGGGATGCCCATCACAAGCCCTAAGGCCTGGCACCCATTCCCTATGCCTAGGCACAGGGCTTCCCCACTTCCTGACAGCCCAGTAAGGCCTGCAGAACTCTGTGGGAATAGATTTACCAAGGCTGAAGAGATGGCTCAGCAGTTGAGAACACTTGCTGCTCTTGCAGAGAACTGGAATCCAGTTCCTAGCACCCATGTTGGGCAGCTCACATGCCTGTAACTCTGGCTCCAAGGATACCCACACATACATGCACAAATAGATACATACACATACACACATGCACAATAAATCTTTTAAAAGCAGAGAAATAGGGGCTGAGAAATGGCTCAGCAGTTAAGATCACTCTCTGTTCTTCTAGAGGACCAAGGTTCGATTCCCAGCACTCACATGGTGGCTAACAACCATCTATAACTCCAGTTCTAGGGAACCTAACACTCTCTTCTAGCCTTTGTGGACATTGCATGCATGTGGTACACCTACATAAATGCAGACAAAATACTTATACACATAAAATAAAAATAATAAATAAGATTTTTTTAAGAGAGAAATAGATTTATGTTGTGGAACACATGGTGCATGCATGTCATTCTGGTACTTGTGAGGCTGAGGCAGGGTGCTCTTCAATTCAAGGCTAACCTGGGCACAGTTATAACAAGGCACTTTCATCTGGTGTGCCCTCACTGTTATCCAGGGACAGCTGTTGCATGGGTTTGCTCTATCAAACCCACCTTTAAATGAAACCAGAGTTCCAAAGGGGCTGTTTGTAGACCACACTTTAATAGTCCTGGGCTTTGGGTGAGACCCCCAGTTCACATTATAAACAGAGGAAGGAGTGGTTCACAGGGAGGTAATGCAGTCACTCCTTACTGAAAGCACAGGTAACATCCCAAACCAGCAGATTAGCCAAGCAGAAGCCCCTCCCAGATGAACCTGAGCCCTTGGCTCTGCCCCTGCTGGAGCCAGTGTCAAAAGACAGCAGCTCACCTTGAGTGAAAAGGTGCATTTGGAAACAGCCAGTGTGCAATCTGTATGACTCACAGAGCACACGTCCCAATCCCAAGGGATCCAACATCCCCAACCCACAGACAACCCACATGATTCCCACACTGAGATGTGTTTCAAAAGAATGCAAAGCTTATGTCTCCAGCTGAGAGACTCTGCAGGCACACAGGGCACCTCCCTCGGTGATGGGACAAGGCTGGGGACCTGCTGCTAGACACAGGCCTCAATCTGTCCTTAGCCCATGGACTGTATGGAATCTCCATCTGGCCCAAGGGAGAGCCTCAGGATGGTTACTCTGTTCTCTGTCACAGACCTTCTCGGATGAGGACAGCCCATGGGTTTACGACCCTCTGCAAGAAGTGTCAGCCTGCCTACAGCCTGGGACACATGGGATTTTCCCAGTGCATATGTTCCAGGAGGCCACCACAGGAAGTAGGGCTCATACCCATCAGGGCACAGCATATGGGCTAGAAGACCTCACACAGAGAGGCTCTGAGGCATCCTGGTAACTCTTAAGGCCAATGGAACTCCAGAGCATCCAAGCTACTTGGTGGCTGTGGGCCACCAGTCTGGCACCAATGCAGTCACAGTCACCTGTTGGCTATCAGAGGTCCTAATATGGAGAGGACTCTTGATTGTCTCTGACCTAAGCAGGGCCAGCCCCATATGCCCCTGGCCAGCCCTGAACTTGCCAGCCACCTGTCCTGTTGCAGTCACCACTAAGGTGCCAGGATCAATGCCACTGGCAGGCAAGGGACCCTTAAGACGCACGGGGAAGAGGCGCTTGCGAATGACACCTGTGTGGTGGGTGCGGGCCGTCAGCTCCTGCCCAATGTAGCAGCCCTTGGTGAAGCTCACGCCATTCATGAAGGCCAGGTTGGACTCCAGGGGTAGAGCCACCCCTGGGGGCAGGTCACAGACCCCCTCTGGGATGCCTGTGGGGGTCAAAAACCAGAGAGAATAAGCTCCTTCTAGCATCTACCCATTTCCTCTGCCTCTCCTGGGGTTCACCCAACCCTTCTGCCTCCTTCTGAGGTCCACCTAGCCCCTCTGCCTGTGCTGGGATCCACCAACCCCTCAGCCCTTCCTGGGGTCCACTCAGAACTTCTGCTCCTCCTGGGGTCCACTGGGTCCTGAGGTCCACCTGGCCCCTGTGTATCTTCTGGGGTCTACCCAGCCCTTCTGCCTTTGCCCCTCCTGGAGTCCACCTGGGCCCTCTAAGCCTCACCACCCCTCCCCCAAGACCAGCTTGGCATGGCTGCCCCTCTCCACCCAACCCATACCTTGCTGGTACCGGTGCATGTGATAATCCTGAAGGTTCCTAAGCTGTCCCTTGGGCACCAGCGCTGGGCCATCATCCTGGGTGAGGAGCCGCCACCCCATATATACAGTCCGGGGATCACGGATGAGGACAGTGGTGGCATCCACCCTCTCCAGCAGTGGCACAGCCTCAAGGACCTGGGGAGTGCTGGGCAGCACAGCCCACACATGAAGCTCTGGCTGCGGCTCCACAGTGACCTTCCGTCGGATCTTATACGTGGAGAGGTGCTTCTGCAGAGCACCCAGAACAGAGCTGTCACATTCCAGGAGAAAGTCTGGTGCCTCCTCAGTGCACAAGGGGAGTCTGTATGAGAGAGGCAGAGGGCTTAGAGCTGGGAGGAGTCCCTGTCCAGTGCTCATCAAGCATGAGGTGAAGACTGAGACACAGAGAACAGCACCCTGGGCCACCCCTCCAGAGTGTGGTATGTGTCCCTAGAGCCAAATCCATGGCTGGCTCATGAGAGACTAAAAGCCGTGCCCACAGCTACATGGGACCATGTCTCCAGAGTGGCCTCCATGCAGCCTGACAGGCAATGGAAATGGCCAATGTGCAGAGCCATAACTTGTATACATGAGGCTACACTGCTATGTCAGGGGTGGGCAAGCCTTGGTCTCATCACTAAACATAGTCAGGTACAGAGAGGCCTGCCCTTGGCAACACAAGACATCTCCAGAATACCCACACTAGTAGCCAAATCCACTGTGGGACCATGAGACAACGGTGACTCCCCACACAGGGCTGGGCTTATAAAGTGTACTGATGGGATCACAGCAGAGAGTGTACTCACTTCCATGTAGGGATGCACCCACAAAGTTCACACTAGGATAAGCTACACCGAGCTGACAGCCACAGGACTCTATGACTGCACAGCAAGGCAGAGAGCCCCCAGCTGCTGTGCTTGGCTGAGCTGAGACAGCTGTGAAAAGGTACTGCCCCTACATAGCTACTGAACCCAGAAGTCCTACAATGGCTGATGCAGGGCCAGCCTCATACCACCTGGGCTTTGTGGTAGAGAACCCCACCTCACTGGATCTGAGGGAAAGACAGTGGGGCTGGGAATGAAGAACAAGCTGGGGTCAGGGACTGGGTACCAGACAACCTGCCAAGGAACGACTCAATATACCAGGAGGTTCCAGGACATAAAGGGCTGGGGATAGACTTGGTCAGACCAAGGGTATGCAGTCATCACCTGGAAAATATGTCCTATGAAGGCAACTGAGAGCAAATCTGTTCCTCAGTGCCAGCCATATGGTGGTTAGAACCCAGTCACAGCCTGAGACCATGGAGATCGAAGTTGAGCTGTGCAGAGACAGATGCAACAGAGGCCTGATGCCAGCGAGCAGTAGAGGCAGGCTCAACTTTGCATATTCAGCCCCACCCCCAAGGATGAGGCAAACACCACCTAAGAGAGCACACTGCCCAGACAGTCTGAGGCCACACATGGGGCAGCTCTCAGCCAGGCCCCCAGTCCAGACCTGTCCAGGACAGGACCTCACAGCTTCAATGGCTCTAAAGTGAAGACAGCTCCAGTCCCAATGATAGAAAAGGCACCAGTGGGGCTGGTGAGATGGCTCAGCAGGTAAAGGTGCTTGTCACAAAAGTTGATGACCCAGGTTCAATTCCTGGGACCCACAGGGTGGAAGAAGAGAACCAACTCTTGAAAGATGTCCTCTGACTTCCACATACATGCCATGGCACATGAGCACATACATACAAAATCAGTATTTTAAAACTTTTCTAATAAGGTCGAGTATTAGACACTCAGTGTTACCTCTGGCTTTCGCATCTGTACACGCACACACACACACACACACACACACACAATTTAAATTTTTTCTAATTTTAGTTTTAGAAATTGGGGCTGGCGGGACTGGAGAGATGGCTCAGCAGTTAAGAGCGCTGACTGCTCTTGCAGAGGACCCAGGTTCTATTCCCGGCACCCACCGTCCTTAATTGCAGTTCCAGGGGAATCCGACCCCCTCTTCTGACCTCCGTGGCACGGGTGCACTCACGTATATGCAGACAATACAGTCATACACATAAAATAAAAATAAAATATTTTTTAAAAAAGAACACTTGCAGGCTGGGCGCGGTGGCACCCGCCTTTAATCCCAGCACTCGGGAGGCAGAGGCAGGAGGATCTCTCTGTGAGTTCAAGGCCAGCCTGGTCTACATAGTGAGTTCCAGGACAGCTGGGACTACAGAGAGACCCTGTCTCAAAAAGACAAAAAAAAAACAAAAAACACTTGCTACCTTTGCAGAGCATCCAAGTTTGGTTCCTAGCACCCATGTCAGGCAGCTCACAACCACCCATAACTCCTGCTCCAGGAAATTAAGACACCACTGGCCTCCACAGGAACATACCCCACAAGACACACACACAGAGATAATTAAAAATAAACCTTTTTTTAAAAAATCACTATTAGCCAAACATGGTGGTACATAACTGTAATCCCAGCATTTGCAAAATAGAGGCTAGAGGATCAGGAGTTCAAAATTAGCCTTGGCTACGTAGGGAACTCAAAATCAGCCTGGTCTACATGAAATCATGTCTCAAAAAACTCACTAGTGTTTGCATTAGTTACTTATCTCACTTCTGTGACCAAACACCTGACAAGAAGCAACTCTGAAGGAAGGACTTATTCTGGCTCACGGTCTGAGGGTATAGCCATCATGGGGGAGTCATAACAGCATCTGGGCACACTGCATCCTTAAATCCGGAAGCAGAAAGAGATGTGGGTTCTCAGTTCACTTTCTTCTTTCTGTTCAGTCCAGGACCCCAGCCCACGGGATTAGACATCCCACATTTAGGGTGGGTCTTCCAACCTCAGTTAACCCACTCTAGAAACTACCCCAAGACATGCCTAGAGGTTTGTTTTCTAGATAATTCTAGATCCTGCAAGTTGACAAGTTCTAACTTCCATCAGAGTTACTGAGTTATTTAAACTTATACTTGCAGGCACTCCTAGTGTTCTTATAAACAAGCAAAGATCTTGGGGAAAGGCAATTTACTCCGATTGGCAGCTGCTAGCGTCTCCCTTGCTGCCCTGAGCAAAAGGACTGTCAAACAGGGAGCCAGACCACACTTATGCTGGCACCCCAACCTGGAACCCTCCTTGGATGCCCTGAGAAAATGATGATGGTCATAGCTGAGTGCCTGCTAAAGGCCCAACTTTAGCCAGGGCTGTTTAAAGCAATCTTTATCAGACTTTTTGTCATCACAAGTCTCAGTGAACCCTAAATGACCCTGAAACCACTGCCACCCACACCAAAGGGAAATCATCTCCCCTGGCAGCCTAGCAGAGGGATTGCTATCACTACTGCTAAAGACACAGGGTTATGATTGTCTAAAACACAAGCCTTAATCGTTGTGAAGGTGCCAATGGGCAAGACTGATTAGTCCACAAATCTTCCCATATAGAAGCAGGCTGCTGAAGCTCGTGTGCCGCGTCTGGAGGGAGACGCTCCTGAGCTTCTCTAGTACTGAAGCATTAGACCCAACAAAAGGCTTCCTTCAGTGCTGTTTTCTGGCCTACGTTTAGTTGTGTAGGTTGGGCCAGTAACAGAGAAAGCAGCAGCAGGGATGGCAGAGGTCAGCAGAGGCAGGGGAGCGACTGTGGTGGCACATGAGCAAGGGACAAGCCAAGTTGCAGGATGGACAAGGCTGCCAGCTGCCTGACAGCTGAAGCAGGAGCAGCTGATCATTTTGAAGGCAGAAAAGGAAGGAGGGCAGCGGAAGTAGAGAGATGGTAAGAGCGTGGAAAGCTGAGGCTGAAAAGAGATGAGGGTTTAAGAAGCCAGAGAAGAGAACTGCAGGCCCAGGACACTGAAGAATTCCAGGGAACTGTCAAGCCTTTAGACCCGGGATCTGAGACTGTGCAGAGCTGTGACACTACCTTGTGTTAATGGCTAAGGAATCACAACTTCCTGGGCCTACATAGGAACTGCAACACTGGCTGCTGACGGGCTGAGGAATCCCCATACGCTAGGCCTCCCTGGACTCCACAAGGTGACTGCAACCAAGGGCTGAGGAATTTCCACTTCCTTGGCCCAGAGCTGCTAACATTTGCAGGATCAAGGCTCCCCTCCTGACACTCAAGGTCTTCAACTCTAGAAGACACCACATTCTGGTACTCCCAATGGACAACTGCAGCTACACGGCCCATCCCTGCCAACCACCAAAGGGGATGAAAGCCACCAGAAACCAGCACTTGAAGAGCTTCTTCTTGCTGGCCCAGGATCTCCCTACCCCCACCCTGGTAACACACACAGCCAATGGCATCCTGGAAATGCAGTCAGCACTAAGCCTCCAGGGCAATATCCATGCATTTTCTGCCAAGGGCAGTGACCAGTTTAGGCCTGAGACACCACAGCCCTAACAAGACTGAGGGGAGGAAAATAGGTGTGCTGGGGGTTCTCACAGAAATCGCTACCAGAGTACCACATTGGGTCTGGCCAAAGGGCTGTCATTTGCTGCCCAGGTTCTAGATCCAAAGAGTCTGCTAAGAGTTGGGATACAGTGAACAGATCCCTCAAGTCACATCATCATGGCTTTCAAGATCCCTAGGATAGATAGATGCCCTAGGCTACTCCACAGAAGTACAGGCAGCATCTGCATAGCGACACCATGAATGCCTATTCCCAGTGACCACTTTCCACCTGGAAGAGCCACCCTCACGCATTCAGGAAAGATCTTGAAGACACCGTGCACACACCCAACTCTGAGCATCTACGGGGCTACTGAAGACGCTCCCCAAAATCCAACTCTGGAAGATACCAGGAAGCTCAGGTGGCCAGGACTGGACTCAGGTTTGAGTCAGGGAGGGCTGACCCAAGGGCAGGCCAGAGAGGGTGGGTCTTCAGTGCTGGTTCTGCCACACACATGCCTGCTAGATGGTCCTGAGATTTCAGAACTTGGGTCCTGGTAAGCAAGTGAGAATTCAACTCTATAAATACAGGTTCTGCCCAGTGTGCCCAACAAATGTTACTTATAGTCACAGTCAGGTCTGCACGGCTAATGAGATCATACATGGATACAGCTGGCACTGAAGAGGGCAAACAGGCAAGAAGCAAACGGGATGCTCAGAACACTGACAGTCCGTCACTGGAGACAAGGTGATGTGCAGAGCAGCCCTCGGCACAAAGCCCCAAGGACCAATGCAGTTCCTCCATGCACTGAGGAGGGGGTGACAGTCAAGGCTTAGGGAGCCCCCACCTTGAAGGTATATACCTCTGACTTGACTGGTTGGGAGAAGGCACAAGGCTGTGTGCAAGTCCAACCTGAATGCCTTCCATGGGCCATCCTTCCCTGGGTGCCCTCTTCTCTGTGTCTAGCCCATTCTCCTCTGGACATGTTTTCTGCGGTATCTAATCTAGATCTATGTAGCAGCTCCTCCTGGAGTGCGCCCCTGGGTGTCTATGTCCCACCCAGAAAACCCTCCCTAGGGTGTGTAGCCGGCTCCTCGTGGGAGTCCCTCAATCTCTTCCCAGTCCTACCCAAGACATCTTCCTTGGGTGTCAAGCCAACTCCTCCTGGGAATGCGCCCCTGAGTGCCCAATGAGTACATCCCAGAACATCCCTCCCTGGGGCATCCAGCTAGGCCATCACCTCTGACGCCAACGGCTTCGCACCCAACCCTCGCTCACCCGTACAAGATGACGTCATAGAGCGTACGGCCCTGCACGTTCAGGAAGTGGGCGTACGCCGCGCGCGCAGAGGGTGGGGCCGCGCCGGCCGCTGGACCCGGAAGCGGCAGCTCATTGGTTAGCAGCCCCAGCAGAAAGGGCGCGGCGTCCGGACCGCGCACGCGTAGGAGGGCGCGCTCTTCTAGCAGGAAGCAGGCCCAGGCCACGCTGTCTGCGGAGTCGCAGCGGGGAAAGCTGGAGCCGCAAGCCAGGCAGCGCCTCGGGGCTGCGCGCGGCCGCCAGCGCCAGGCCTGGCCTCCGCGCCCTGCAGCCGCGCTCCGGAGCAGCGCCGCGGCCGCCATCTTGGGCACGAGTGGGGTGCGGGCAGCACAGCGACCCCTGGCGGCGACGGAGGGCGGTGCGCGTGCGTGGGGGGCAGAGTGGGCGGAGCCTCTGCCTGTCCGTCAGTGTGCACGCCCCACCTTCCAAGTAAACCGCTTAGGGCAGAGCCCAGGCAGCGCACTTGCCGCCTTCTTGGTCCAGCTGGAGACGGTTTCTATTTGTAATTACACATAAACGTGAAATTTGCCGTCTTATGCCTGGTGTGCAGGAGGATGCGAGTTCAAGACCTGCCTGGCCAACTTGGAGCCTGACTTCAAATAAAAGGCAAAAATAGGGTTGGGGATATATAACTCAGTGGTAGAGCGCTTTCCAGCAGACAAGAAGCCCTGGACTTGATCCCCAGTAGGGCCAAGATAAAAGGAGGAAGCAGAAAAGAAAAGCATCCAAACATTTCTTTTACCTGTTTCATTGTGGTTAATGAACTGTCTCTGTTTCTGTTTCTAACCCTGTCCTTTGCCCTGAGTGAGACACAAGAGCCTGGAATCTGGTGCCCTCTGAGCTCGGATCTGAATCTGTAACACTCCGCACTCAGATCCATGGCCTGGCACTAAGCATACGTTTCCTTTTATTTTCCTATCTCTTCTGGATTCTGGCCAAAAGTTTAAGCATGCATTTCCTGATACTCTGGACTTTGTTTTGCTGACCTCTGTTCCTAATGTAAAAGACTCCAGCTCCTTCATCTCAGAAACTATTAGGGAAGGGCATCCAGTCTTTGCAAACTGGCTTCTCACATGTTGATCTTGACATTTCAGTCCCTAGTCCTTACTCTTCTACCACAATATGAGGATTCCATATTTAGTGGTTTTTAAAAAATATTTTATTATTTTTATGTGTATAAGTGTATTGCCTGCATGTATGTAAGTGCATCCGTGCTGTGCAACACCCTCGGAGGTCAGAAGAGGGCATAGGATTCCCCTGGAACTGGAGTTAGGGAAGTTTGTTAGCTGCCATGTGGGTGTTGGGAGTCAAACTCCTGTCCTCTGCTAGAGCAGCCAGTGCTCTAACCACCAACCCGTCTTTCCAGCCCCCATATTTAATTTGTGTAGAAACTACCCTGAAAGTCTTTGTTCCTTTGGGCTGCTATGTAAGTAGACTGTGCCCAGGGAGAGTGTGGAGCATGATTTAAAACAGCTCATCTCGCTGGGCGTGGTGGCGCAGGCCTTTAATCCCAACACTCAGGAGGCGGAGGCAGGCGGATCTCTGTGAGTTCGAGGTCAGCCTGGTCTACATAGTGAGTTCCAGACCAGCTGGGGCTACAGGGAAACCCTGTCTCAAAAAAAACCAAAAAAAAAAAAAAATTGTGTGCCGCGGCGGTGGTCGGCCTGCGGTTGATCCCCGATTCTTGCTCCGGCTGCGGCCAGCGGAGCTCCAGGCTGAGGCAGGAGCCGCAATGTCTCAGTCTGTGCAGACAAATAGATTACAAAGAACACCTCAGGAAGCAGTAACAGATGGCTTGGAAATTGTGGTTTCACCTAGAAGTCTACACAGTGACTTAATGTGTCCAATTTGTTTGGATATGTTGAAGAACACCATGGCTACAAAGGAGTGTTTACACCGTTTTGTGCAGATTGCATTATCACAGCTCTTAGAAGTGGCAACAAAGAATGCCCTACCTGTCGGAAAAAACTAGTTTCCAAAATTGGTGACTAAGGTCAGACCCAAACTTCGATACACTCATCAGCAAGATTTATCCAAGTTGTGATGAATATGAAGCTCATCAAGAGAGAGTATTAGCCAGGGTCAACAAGCACAATAATCAGTGAGCGCTCAGCCACAGCATTGAGGAAGGACTGAAGATACAGGCCATGAACAGACTACAGCGAGGCAAGAAGCAACAGATTGAAACGGTAGTGGAGCAGAAGATAATGGCGACAGTTCCCACTGTAGTAATGCGTCCACACACAGCAATCCGGAAGCAGGCCCTAGTAACAAACGGACCCAAACATCGGATGATTCCGGGCTAGAACTGGATGATAACAATGCAACATGGCAATTGATCCAGTGATGGATGGTGCTCGTGAAATTGAGTTAGTATTCAGGCCCCATCCTACACTTATGGGAAAAGATGATAGTGCGAAGACAAGATATATAAAAACTTCAGGTAATGTGACTGTTGATCACTTATCCAAGTATCTGGCTGCGAGGTTAGCTTTAGAAGAATTTCGAAGCAAAGGAGAATCAAACCAGATGAACCTTGATACAACCAGTGAGAAGCAGTACACCATTATATAGCAACGTCCAGGGGCCAGTTCTCTGTATTAAATGGCTCTTTTTCTTCGGAATTGGTCAGTGAGAAATACTAGAAAGCGAACAAACCCATGCACCCACCAAGGAGCACAAATGAGCTGTTAAAACTCAATTCTGAGACTGAACTTTTTTTTTTTCTTTTGTCTTTTTGAGACAGGGTCTCCCTGTAGCCCAGCTGTCCTGGAACTCATTATGTAGACCAGGCTGGCCTTGAACTCACAGAGATCTGCCTGCCTGTGCCTCCAGAGCGCTGGGATTAAAGGCATGCGCCACCACACCCAGCTGAGACTGAACTTTTTATAGCCTATTTCTTTAATATTAAAGATGTACCATCATTGCTTTTATGGACAGATCTGGGGTATGTTCAGTTTTCTTTCTGAGCCATACTCGTTTATACTATTAGATTGATTTCTCCTTAATTTAAGACTTTTTGGAAAGGACTGTACTAATTCAGTACTTTTTTTCCCTTTTAATAATATAACTAAGTTATGTGCATACACAAAGTATGGTTCCTTTTAGAGCACCCTTTGACTTAGGAGTTTTTCATTGTTCTGGGGATTTTTTGGAGGCAGGGTCTCATTATGTAGCCCTGGTTGGCCTGGAACTTACTGACTAGACCAGACTTGCTTCAAACTTGCAGTGATTCTCCTGTCTCTGCTTTCCAAGTGCTAGGAATACAGGCGTGCATGAGCACACCAGGCTTTAGTTTGATACTCTTAAAGATTCCATCAGCCATCTTTTCCTGTCTCTCCTCAAGTTTTTTAGGCCTAAAGAATGTTAGATAATATGTATTCTTTTTTCCCCTTGAAGTCTTGTATATTTACAGTTTTGTGTATAAACTGTAGTATCTTCATGAAGACCGAGGCTCAAATTTACTAACGCTTAACAATTCTCATAGGATTATTATTTTCATGGTATTTTCTTACATAA